CCTGTGTAACTTAGATGTCAGCCATTGGCAGCTCATGCGTGACACCTGCCGCTTGCTCAGGCCCTTTGAGGAGGCCACGCTATTCGTGAGTCGGCAGGACTATGGGATGAACGACGCCATTCCTCTGTTGCACGTCCTGGAACAAATGCTGTTAACAATGGCTGGTCAGGGTGCGGTAGACGTGGCGCACAGATCTCAATGCCACATGACCCCTGTGGGGGCAGGACAGGAAGAAGAGGAGGAGGTAGAGGAGGACATTGGTGCTCAGGAATTATTGAGTGAAATGGGTGGTTTTTCCACTCAGCGGACAGGAGTGGAGGAGCAGGAGCATCTGGTAGAGGAGGAGGAGGAGGAGACAGAGGACCCAGACGCACCGTGGCAGTATGCTGTGGAGATGGAGGCAGGGAGTCCCTCGCATTCCTTGGCACAAATGGCCCATAGCATGCTCGGTTGCTTGCGTAGCGACAGCCGAATAATAACCATCAGACAGAGGGATGACTTTTGGCTGTCCACCTTGTTGGACCCTCGCTACCGTTCAAAAATGGTGGCCTTTTTCACACCTGCTGAGAGGGAGGCCAAAATAAAGTACTATAAAAACAACCTATGTAGTCATGCAGTATATAGCCCTATCGGCCACTTTCTGGCATCCAGTTGCTGTAGCCCCCATCACCACACTGTGCCACGGGCCCCTGTACCGCCTTCTCATACTGCTGCCAGATCCATCCTCTGCCATGTGCGTCTTTGTCGTCTGCTCACGCTGCTGGGTTCCAGTTTTAAACCTAGGCCTGTGTATGGCTTCCGAATACTGCTGCCTCCACCGCCACCCTGCGCCATGTGCCACTTTCAGGTCTCCTTACACTGTTGGTGGGTTCCATTTTGTGATAGGGTGCTGTATGGCCTTCCATTGCTGCTGCCTCCACCACCACCCTGCGCCATGTGCCTCTGTCGTCTGCTCACGCTGCTGACGGCTTCCGCTTTTTAACCTAGGCCTGTGTATGGCCTTCAATTGAAGCTGCTTCTGCTCCGCCACTCTGCCATTGGACTCTTGATAGTCGTCTCCCCACGCTGCTGCTGGGGGGACTTTTTAACATAGGCCTCTGTATGGCCTTCAATTTTAGCTGCTTACGCTCCGCCACTCTGCCATGGGCCCCTGTACCGCCTCCTCATGCTGCTGCCAGGCCCGTAATCTGCCATGGGCCCCCGTACCGACTCCTCATGCTGCTGCCAGGCCCGTAATCTGTCATGGGCCCCTGTACCGCCTCCTCATGCTGCTGCCAGGTCCAGAGTGTGTCATGGGTCCCTGTACCGCCTCCTCATGCTGCTGCCAGGTCCAGAGTGTGTCATGGGTCCCTGTACGGCCTCCCATTGCTGCTGTCTCCATCGCCACACTCTGCCATGTGCCACTTTCAGGTCTCCTCACACTGCTGGTGGGTTCCATTTTGTCATAGGGTGCTGTATGGCCTCCCATTGCTGCTGCCTCCACCGCCACACTGTGGCTCCACACTCTCTGGTTTTGGCCCCGTGACTGCCCAAATGAGTGAAGTGTGCGGTGATTCTAAGATCGACGGCACTCATCTGCATGTCATACTGACTGACAGTATTATTTCTCTTCCCCAGCAGACTCCAAGGGCATTTAAATTAAAGGTACAGTGTTCTGCACTAATATAAAGGCTCTCTGAAGCCTAGAAACACCCTTTTTATAAGTTAAATTCGCAGCGAAATATATTCGGCACGAAGCGAATTTAATCGGCGAATTCGGCGAATTAGCCGAACCGAATTTTTGAATAATTCGCTCATCTCTATATGTATGTACAGTTGCAAGAAAAAGTATGTGAACCCCTTGCGATTACGTGCAGTTTTGCATGAATTGGGCATAAAATGTGCTCTGAACGTCATCTAAGTCACAAACAATAGAAAGAACACAGTCTGCTGAACATAATACTACACAAACATTAGATGTTGCCATGGTTTAATTGCACATAACATGTTAACATTCACAGTGCAGGGAGGAAAAAGTATGTGAACCTTTGGACTTAATAACTGGTTGACCCTCCTTTGGCAGCAATAACCTCAACCAAACATTTCCTGTAGTTGCAGATCAGACCTGCACAACGATCTGGAGTAATTTTGGACCACTCTTCTTCACAAAACTGTTTCAGTGTAGCAATATTCTTGGGATGTTTGGTGTGAATCGCTCTCTTAAGGTCATGTCACAGCATTTCAATCGGGTTGAGGTCAGGACTCTGACTGGGCCACTCCAGAAGGCGTATTCTGTGCTGTTGCAGCCATTGTTTTGTTGAATTACTTGTATGCTTTGGGTCATTGTCCTGTTGCATCACCCATCCTCTGCGGAGCTTCAGTTGGCGGACAGATGGTCGTACGTTTTCCTGCAAAATATCTTGATAAACTCTGGAAATTCATTTTCCCATCAATGACAACAATCCGTCCAGGCCCTGAGGCAGCGAAGCAGCCCGAAACCATGATGCTCCCTCTGCCATGTTTTACAGTGAGGATGAGGTTTTGATGTTGGTGTGCTGTGCCTTTTTTTCTCCACACATAGTGTTGTGTGTTCTTCCCAAAACAACTCAATCTTGGTTTCATCTGTCACACAGTACATTCTGCCAGTAGTGCTGTGGAACATCCAGGTGTTCTTTTGCAAACTTCAAACGTGCTGCAATATTCTTTTTGGACAGCAATGGCTTCCTCCGTGGTGTCCTCCCATGTACTCCATTCTTGTTTAATGTTTTCCTTATTGTAGATGTGTCAACAAAAATGTTAGCATGTGCCAGAGATTTCTGTAGGTCTTTAGCTGACACTCTGGGATTCTTCTTTACCTCATGCAGCATTCTGCGCTGTGCTCTTGCAGTCATTTTTACAGGACAATCATGCCTAGGGAGAGTAGCAACAGTGCTAAACTTTCTCCATTTGTAGACAGTCTGTCTTACCGTGGACACATGAACATCAAGGCTTTTGGAGATACTTTTGTAACCCTTTCCAGCTTCATGCAAGTCAACAATTCTTGATCGTAGGTCTTCTGAGAGCTCTTTTCTGCGAGGCATGGTTCACATCAGACAGAGCTTCTTGAAACCAGTAAACCCAAAACAGGTGTGTGTTTTTTAAGGGCAGGACAGCTGTCAGCAACACATCCAATATCATCACACTGATTGGAGTCAAGGTTGGCTCACTCCTGGCTCCAATTAGCTCTGGGAGAAGTCATTAAGCTAGGGGCTCACATACTTTTTCCTCCCTGCACTGTGAATGTTTACATGTTATGTGCAATTAAACCATGGCAACATCTAATGTTTGTGTGTAGTATTATGTTCAGCAGACTGTGTTCTTCTATTGTGGTGACTTAGATGACGTTCAGAGCACATTTTATGCCCAATTCATGCAAAACTCCACGTAATCCCAAGGGGTTCACATACTTTTTCTTGCAACTGTATGTATATATACATACATACATACACATACACACACGCGCGTACACATACACACATGCACATTTATATATATAAAATATATATATTATTTATTTATTTATTTATTTTTTAATATATTGAATACGGCCAAAATTGTAGTATTTCAAATATATGTCAATATATTTGGGAAGAATATTTTTAAAATAGATTTTTCTTCCATGTGGGAATGTCCAACAATCTAATAGCGAAAAGCCTACGTCATGCGCCTCGCCATCCATTCTCATAGCGATTTTCCAAACAATCAAGTTAATGTGCGAAAATGTTCTCCAGAGCTAAAAATACCACAGGATAGTGAAATCTGAAAGATCGCAATCAGAGCCGCCTCACTTCAGATTCTTTACCTGTCACAGGCAAGATTTATTTATTAACTACATGGAAAAAAAAAAAAAGAGTTTCTAATCAGAAGAGGATTATGCTCACGCTGACATCCGCACGCTGGTGAGTCTTTGGCGGTAATTACCATGCCGCGCTTGGAATAAGATCGCGGAAGCTATTACCTTGGAAGAAGATAGATGGACACTCTTTAGGTGCTGCCTTCCCAATTGTTCCATAGATCAGGAAGTCGGGCGCTAGTTAATAAGGAGACTTATCGGAGCGTGAAATAGCATCGCAAAGGAAATTTTGGGGCAGAAAATGACGAGGGAATCCTGATTCAAGCACAGCTGAGCACATAAAAAGTAAATTAAGCATATAAAAAAGACAGTTTTCCCTGAAAGGGAGCAACATTGTTAAAAAGAAGCGGCTCAAAGTGTGTAATTATAGTATGTTTTCAGCAGGAACACATGTAAAGGGTAACTCCATTTTCATGGGAGGAAAAAAAATGCAAATAAATAAAAAAATAACACATACAATATTATTATTATTATTATTATTATTATTATTAATAATAATAATAATAAGCCATACATATAATAAAAATATAACAAATAATAAGACAAATAGAATTATTAATAATAATAATAATAATAATAATAAACCATACACACAATAGAACATACAATCATAATATTACTAACAATAATAATATTGTTTAGGCGATCTCTGAAAACCTCTCTCTTCAAGTAAGCCTATCGCGCCTTCAGCTGATAATCTTCTACTCCTCCTACCAGTCCATCCCCCACAGTTATTACCTTTTGTACCACTAGCCCCTCCCTCTTAGATTGTAAGCTCCCAGAATCAGGGCCCTTCTAACCCTCTTGTATTGAACTGTATTGTTGCTGTATTGTCTCCCGTTATATTATAAAGCGCTGAGCAAACTGTTGGCGCCATAAATCCTGTATAATAATAATAATAATAATCCATGCATACAATAGAACATACAATAATAATATAACAAAAAGTACATATATATATAATTTGGGGGATATCTGTACTGTCCTGACATTTGGGGGATATCTGTCCTGTCCTGACATTTGGGGGATATCTGTCCTGTTCTGACATTTGGGGGATATCTGTACTGTCCTGACATTTGGGGGGGATCTGTACCGTTCTGACATTTGGGGGATATCCGTACCGTCCTGACATTTGGGGGATATCTGTACTGTCCTGACATTTGGGGGATATCTGTACTGTTCTGACATTTTGGGGGATATCTGTACCGTTCTGACATTTGGGGGATATCTGTACCATCCTGACATTTGGGGGATATCTGTACCATTCTGACATTTGGGGGATATCTGTACTGTCCTGACATTTGGGGGATATCTGTACTGTTCTGACATTTGGGGGATATCTGTACTGTCCTGACATTTGGGGGGGATCTGTACCGTTCTGACATTTGGGGGATATCCGTACCGTCCTGACATTTGGGGGGTATCTGTACTGTCCTGACATTTGGGGGGATATCTGTACCATCCTGACATTTGGGGGATATCTGTACCATTCTGACATTTGGGGGATATCTGTACTGTTCTGACATTTTGGGGGATATCTGTACTGTCCTGACATTTGGGGGATATCTGTACCGTTCTGACATTTGGGGGGATATCTGTACCATCCTGACATTTGGGGGATATCTGTACCATTCTGACATTTGGGGGATATCTGTACTGTCCTGACATTTGGGGGATATCTGTACTGTTCTGACATTCTTGGACCTCAAGAAATTAGATCGGCCGCCAATACTTCAGGATTGATCAATTTTCAGATCTATCCCATAGTTTGTGAACTCTATAACTTTCCTACAGACTAAATAATAAACACTGATTTGGGTTATTTTCACCAAAGACATGTAGCAGATTACATCTCGGCCTAAATTTATGAAGAACAATTATTTACCTTCAAACTTTTATAACAGAAACAAAGAAACGTGTTTTTTTTTTCAAACTTTTCTGGGGTTTTTTGGTAATTTATCAAAAAATAAAAACCCCAGCGGTGATTAAATACCACCAAAAAAAGCACTAGTTGTGTGAACAAAATGATAAAATTTTAGTTTGGGTACAATGTTGTATGACCGCTCAATTGTCATTCAAAGTGTGAGAGCGCTGAAACGTGAAAATTGGCCTTGGCAGGAAGGGGGTAAAAGTGCCCGGTATGGAAGAGGTTAAAAGTGAAAGTTCTAGTGACCTTAATTTGCAGGGATTTCTTCTCACTTCCTGTTTGGCTATGGGACAGGAAGTGAAGGGAAATCTCCACAATAGGACACATGAGGCCGGACATTGTCGTGCACCAGGAGGAACCCAAGACCCACTGCACCAGGAGGAACCCAGGACCCACTGCACCAGGAGGAACCCAGGACCCCCTGCACCAGCGTAGGGTCTGACAATGGGTCCAAGGATTTCATCCCGATACCTAATGGCAGTCAGGGGGCCATTGTCTAGCCTGTAGAGGTCTGTGTGTCCCTCCATGGATATGCCTCCCCAGACCATCACTGACCCACCACCACGACGGTCATGCTGAACCATGTTACAGGCAGCAGAATGTTCTCCACGGCTTCTCCAGACCTTTTCATGTCTGTCACGTGTGCTCAGGGTGAACCTGCTCTCATCTGTGAAAAGCACAGGGCGCCAGTGGTGGACCTGCCAATTCTGGTGTTCAATGGCAAATGCCAATCCAGCTCTATGGTGTCGGGCAGTGAGCACAGGGCCCATTAGAAGACTTTGGGCCCTCAGGCCACCCTCATGAAATCTGTTTCTGATTGTTTGATCAGAGACATTCACACCAGAGGCCTGCTGGAGGTCATTTTGTAGGGCTCTGGCAGGGCTCATCCTGTTCCTCCTTGCACAAAGGAGCAGATACCGGTCCTGCTGATGGGTTAAGGACCTTCTATGGCCCTGTCCAGCTCTCCTAGAGTAACTGCCTGTCTCCTGGAATCTCCTCCATGCTCTTGAGACTGTGCTGGGAGACACAGCAAACCTCCTGGCAATGGCACGTATTGATGTACCATCCTGGAGGAGTTGGACTGCCTGTGCCACCTCTGTAGGGTCCAGGTATCACCTCATGCTACCAGTAGTGACACTGACCCTAGCCAAATGCAAAACGAGTGAAAAACAGTCAGAAAAGATGAGTAGGGAAAAAAATGTCAGTGACCTCCACCTGTAAAACCACTCTTGTTGCCCATCTAGTGCACCTGTTAATTTCATTAACACCAAAGCAGCTGAAACTGATTAACAACCCCCTCTGCTACTTAACTGACCAGATCAATATTCATTCAAGTTTCATTGACTTGATGCTAGACTCTGATTAAAAAGTGTTCCTTTAATTTTTTTGAGCAGTATGTGTATATTGTACATTCACATCAGTCTCTGCCCTCAAGGAGCTTACAATCTAAGATTCCTAACTGCCATACAAACCAATGTATGGGAGGGGGCCAATCAACCTACCAGCATGTCTTTGGGGTGTAGAAGGAAACCAGAATACCCAGAGGAAACCCATACAGCCACAGAGAGAACATGCAAACTCCAGGCAGGTAGTGCCATGGTTTGGGATTCAAACTAACAACCCTAGTGTTGCTAGGCAGAAATGCTAACCACTTAGCCACTGTGCTTCCCTAAGTTGTTTAACTTCCAACTTCCAAACATTAACCTCACAAATTAACCCACAGCTTGCTTGCTACACCTCGCTTCAATCCCTAAATCTAGATACAAGAGATCTTTATTGATCCATCTCCTCAATGTGGAAAAAGCCTACATTCTCTGTAATTGGAAGCAGCCCACAGCTCAATGGCACTCTAAGATTAATGGCATTATGTTAATGGAAGATCTGACTACCTCCCTCAAAGACAAGGCAGAAAACCTTTAGGAAAACATGGTTTTATTGGCTATCACACAAATTCTCTGTGGAATACGCCAATGCCCTTCAAAAGACTAATCCAACCCTCTCCTCCCAAAACAATTAAAGTGGAGTGCACCTTGTAACACCCATCCTGTAACCTAATCTCCACTATTGCCTGGAGTCTCCTGGTAGCAACCTTACTCCTCTCCCTTCCCCGCAACTGGATGCAACTTCCCCACCACCGGATAACATAACTGCCCCCCTCAGTAGCCCCCTGTGACCTTTTCTTCCCTCTAATCCACTCGTCTGTCTTTCCCTTACTGTCTTTATACCAGCCTATATAACCATTGGTTTCTATCTCCTTTTTCCCCCCACAGCACTGGGGATTTCCCACCACTGGAGAAGATCCAAAGAGAAAGAGTACCATACATGTTTTTAAAACTTACCTCCACACCATGTTGACCCACAGCTATATAACCCTGCAGTACCACACACAATATTTGTCTGGGCTGTATAAGCCTGATCATGCCTTTCCAACCTCTTTTTAATGTATGGCATACTTAGTCACACTTCCAGTTGCCAAATATTTCCCATAGCATATTGACCTCTTGCTCATATGTCCTTGTTGTGTGGTATGGCGTATAAATAAAGATTTAGAAATTATTGATGTTGAGAATTTATATACTCAAAACAAAACATTTTTTTTTTTTTACATTTTATTCATAGTTAAATCAAAATGTTTGTGAAAAACGCCCACATCACTGGGGATTTCCCACCACTGGAGCAGATCCAAAGAGAAAGAGTACCATACATGTCATGGGGCTAATCTGAAGACTACGGCAGCATTGAAGTTTTCCCATCATTACTACTTTATTTTAAAGATTCCCCGTCACGCTGCAGATCTTATTTTCTCTACAATGTTGTCTCCCACAGTAATACCATACCATCACTAAATGTCCTCAGTCATCTGGGTTGAATGACACCCAGCTCCATCCAACCTACAAAACTCAAGATGCGTAGTGCATGCAGGGTGTCATGGACCCAATCCCTGATATAGGTGTCAGAATACAATACTTCAGAAGGTAGAATTGACATTATTCAGTGATGCACTACTCTTGGCATCACTGAATATTGCCCACACACTGGAGAAAATCAAAGGAGGAAGCATACCATACACGTCATGAGACTGACTTGAAGACTATAGCAGCACTGACGTTTTCACATCAGTACTACTCTTGGCATCAATGAATATTGCCCACCACTAGAGAAGATCCAAAAGAGAAAGAGGACCATACATGTCATGGGACTAACCTGAAGACTAAGGAAGCCTTGCTTTATCATATAAGTATTACACTTGGCATCACTGAGTATTGCCCACCTCTGGAGAACATCTTAGGAGGAAGCAAACCATACTTGTATATGTCATGGGACTGACTTGAAGACTACAGCAGCACTGATGTTATCACATCAGTACTACTCTTGGTAGTACTGGGGATTGCCCTCCACTGGAGAAGTTCCAAAGAGAAAAAAATGACCATAAATGTCATGGGACTGACCTGAAGACTAGGGAAGCACTGCTTTATCGCATCAGTACTACTCTTAGCATCACCGGGGATTGCCCACCTCTGGAGAAGATCTTAGGAGGAAGCAGACCATACATGTCATGGGACTGACCTGAAGACTTTGCCAGCACTGATGATATCATGTCAATACTATTTTTGGCATCACTGGGGATTGTCCACCAATGGAGAAGATCCAAGGAGGAAAATGACCATACATGTCTTGAGACTGACCTGAAGACTTGGGAATCCCTGATTTTATGACAGCAGTATTACTCTTGGCAGAACTAGAAAATGCCCACCACTGGAGAAGATCTAAGGAGGAAGAGGACCATACATGTCATGGAACTGATCTAAAGACTATGGCAGCATTGAAGTTTTCACATCAGTACTACTCTTGGCATCACTGGGGATTGCCCACCACTGGAGAATATCTAAGGAGGAAGCAGACCATACATGTCATGGGACTGACCTGAAGACTAGGGAAGCTCTGATGTTATCACATTAGTACTACTCTTGGCATCACTGAGGATTGCCCACCATTGGAGAACATCCAAAAGAGGAAGAGGACCAAATATGTCATGGGACTTACCTGAAGACTACGGAAGCACTGATGTTATCACCTCAATACTACTCTTGGCACCACTGAGGATTGCCCACCTCTGGAGAAGATCTTGGGAGGAAGCAGACCATATATGTCATGGGACTGACTTGAAGACTACGGAAGCACCGACGTTAACACATCAGTACTACTCTTGGCACTGCTGGGGATTTCCCACCTCTGGAGAAGATCCAAAGAGAAAGAGGACCATACATCATGGGGCTGATCTGAAGACTACGGTAGCATTGAAGTTTTCACATCAGTACTACTCTTGGCATCACTGGGGACTGTCCACCACTGGAGAAGATCTAAGGAGGAAGCAGACCATACATGTCATGGGACTGACCTGAAGACTAGGGAAGCTCTGATGTTATCACATCAGTACTACTCTTGGCAACACTTGGGATTGCCCACCACTGGAGAATATCCAAAAAGGAAGAGTACCAAATATGTCATGGGACTTACCTGAAGACTACGGAAGCACTGATGTTATCACCTCAATACTACTTTTGGCACCACTGAGGATTGCCCACCTCTGGAGAAGATCTTAGAAGGAAGTAGACCATATATGTCATGGGACTGACTTGAAGACTACGGAAGCACCGATGTTATCACATCAGTACTACTCTTTGCATTGCTGGGGATTTCCCACCTCTGGAGAAGATCCAAAGAGAAAGAGGACCATACATGTCATGG